GGGTAATGTCCTTCAGTATTTGTTTAACACATTATCCAGTAGCCATCATGGGAGTCCAACAGGGACAGCTTGGAGTGCTTAATGGAGTAGGCATCTGGTTTTGCAATTTACCTCAACTGCACATAGTGTATCTTTTTGAATACTTCCATATGCTAGTAATAAGCTCTTTACACTTGGACAACTTCAGGGCTGTTTGTTGTTGAGTACGGAAAGCAGCATTTGGGTAGAGCATGGGCTCTGGAGTCAGGAAGACCTGGGTCTGAATGGGAGCTCTGCCCCTTACTTCCTGTATGACCCCAGGCATGTCAGTTTTCCTTGCTGGGGCCTTGTTTCCTCATTTGGAATATAGGGATAGTGTTATGTGCATCATAGCACTGCACGCAGTATTTACTTAAATAACTTTTGTGCCTGGTACATATTAAGCACCCAGTAAAAGGTGGTGGTTGTAATACCAATTGTGAGAATAGGTTATTCTGCGAAGTTTTTTTTTGTTTTCGCTTTTTTCTGAAGTAATCTCTCCCTGCTTTCGACTATCCATGGTGGGAATCAGTAGACAGATGACCGTGAGGAATGGTGAGGGAATCCAGCAGGAGGAGCCTCCATTTTCAAAATGCACACAGAACATATCACTTACCTAAGCCAGAGGTGGAGGTAAATGCCTTGGTTCATTGAAGCCTCCAGGAGTTTGGAGAAATATGTTTTCAGTCACGAGCTAGGAAAACACTTTCTTTTTCTCCAACACCTTCCACAGGGCATCTTTGATCTCTTTGTTCCTCAAACTGTAAATGAGCGGGTTCAGCATGGGGATCACCAGTGAATAGAACACAGAGACCACCTTGTCTCTGCCAAGTGAGTAGCTGGAGCTGGGTCTTAGGTACATGAAAAGAGCTGTTCCAAACAAGAGAGTCACCACCATCAGATGTGAGGCACACGTGTTGAAGGCTTTCCTTCGGCCTTCCACTGAGTGAATCTTCAAGACGGCAGCCACTATGTAACAGTAGGAGATGAGGAGGATGAGGAATGATGTGCCCCCAACAGAGACCACCACAAGGAAACTCACCACCTGACTGAGGAAGGTGTCAGAGCAAGAAAGTGCCAGGACTGGTGGGAGGTCACAGAAGAAATGGTTGATGACATTGGGTCCACAGAAGTGGAGCTGAAAGATGGAGCTGGCCTGGACCAGGGAGCTCAGGAAGCCACCGACATAGGCCCCAACCACCATGCGTGTACAGAGGCCCTGGGACATGACCGCAGTGTAGAGCAGGGGGCTGGAGATGGCTGCGTATCGGTCGTATGCCATAGCAGTCAGGAGGAAGCATTCAGTTAGACCCATGCCAACAAAGAAAAAAAACTGAGCAGCACAGCCGAAGAATGATATGGTCTTCTGTTCCCGGAAGAAGTCGGTGAGCATCTTGGGAGCCACGGCGGAAGAGTAGCAAATGTCGATGAAGGACAGGTTGCTGAGGAAGAAGTACATCGGTGTGTATAGACGGATGTCGCCTCTGATCAGAAAAATGAGGGCCAGATTCCAGGTCAAAGTCACGAGATAGATGCCCAGGAAGATCACAAAGAGGGGGGCCTGGAGTTCCGGGTGGTCTGCAAATCCCAGGAAGATGAACATGGTCACTGACGAGCTGTTCCAGCTTTTAGTGGTGGACATGTTTCCCGTGCACCAGAAGGACAAGATGCAGACCTGGCATAATAATGATAACCCGCAGTACAGGTGATGTCAAGAAATAATTACTAAATGCGTGGGAGGGAGGGCAGTGTGTTATGGATGTTTACACCTTTATGCAAAGATACTCTCTTCCTCTCAGAAGGTAAATGTCTTAAATATTTGCTTTCTAAACGTAGGATAGTGTGGTTGATCTGAGCTTAAACTTTGGATTCAGACTCCCTGTGGTCAACTCCTGTCTCCACCCTTTAGTAGCTGTGTCACTTTGGATGAGATATCTAACATCTCTAGGCTTCAATCTTCTTATCTTTAAAAAGGGTGACAACACCTATTCACTTTTTAAGTTTTAAGAATTAAATAAGGCAAAGTGTATAAGGTGACTGACACATAGTAAGTCTGCAGTGAAAGTTATTATTCAGACAGTTTTGTGTGTCCCAGGTGAGTCACATTATGCCCTGAAATAATTATGTGTCTAATTTTATTTCAAGTTTCCGCATTGGAATGGAGAAACCAGCAGAGAGACTGGGTTCAGTCAGGTAGTTGTGAAATAATCAGTCAGGCATTTCGAATATTCTTAATCTATAGGATCAGGCCCGATCTGCATAGAAATGACTTCATTGTCGAATATTAGATCTGAGTATACCAATGTGGTTGCGGTTTCAAATTTGTCTTCAGTCTGAGCCGTCAAAGCTTATTTATTAAGAATGTGGAGTCTGGATTTGGACTGCCTGGATTCAGTTCCCAGCTTTGTCACTTAATAGATGTGTGATCTTTGGAAGGTCGCTTGAACTCTCTATGACTCCCTGTGAAATTAGAGATAATAATAGCATTTTGTTCTTAGGATCTAGCTATCATATCTATCACCTCTATCAGTTAGCTGTCTGTCTGTCTGTCTGTCTCTATCTATCTATCTATCTATCTATCTATCTATCTATCTATCTATCTATCTATCTACCTACCTACCTAATTATCGATCATCTTCCCAACCTCCTTTAGGACATTCCTGGCCCACAGTAAGCACTCTACAAGTGTTTGTTGTTGCTATTGTTTAAAACCTAAATTACAAACTATCCTAAATCAAATTCTTAGAATTTTTGGTATATGAAGCATCTTTGATGATCAAGGACTGGATTCCATTCAATCTGCATCTGTAAGGATTCCCATCATCACCTCTCACGTCCACACTGAGTTTCAGTGCACGTAGCTCAGAGGAGAACTCTGCCGTCAGTAGCTCTCTGAAGCTGAGGGCCTGTCCCTGCAGGAGGCACTAGGAAGAGTGTGGTCAGAGGGCTTGGTGGCTCTTGGTGGATGACTCATAAACATTTGGAATATATCTTGATCCTTCTTCAGTTCTTGACCCCCAAATTGGGAAATCAACAAAATTAAGTGTCTTTTAAGCTATATTTTCAGCCTATTCTATCTACTTCTTAAAATAGAGTAAATCCAACAAATTTTACTTTATTTTTCAGAAAGAAAATGTTATTTTATGAATTTAAAGCAATATGTGAGAACTGTAAAATGATTTGATCAGCAGACAGCTGTGAAATATTAAGCCTAAAAATCATGTGCAGTTCCTGCTTGATGTACCAAAAAACCCTGAAACTGGAAGTTATGATGCTCCATCTCCTGAAATGAAGACTCTTAACATTTTGGTGTACCCCTTTCATGTGCAAGTATACGTGTATACGTGTGGGTGTTTGCATCATGGTACACATACTCTCTATAACTTACATATATGATAGAAACCATCCCAAGTTAGTAACTTGACGATTTGCAAAGTAACACTTTCTGTGTTTGTTTTGAATTTTTCTTGCTCAATTTAGACGCGCTATCTCAATTTAATATCCCCAGTTTTTCATAAATCAATCCATATTTACTCACTGCCAGTCAAGTTCTCTTTGACTTTCTTAACTTTCTTCTCCGAACTTGCACAGAGAGAGGCCCTTGGAATTGGGGCTCATCCCTTCCCTCTTAATAGCTTCTGCTACAGATTTTTCAGCATTAAAACCCTCAAATTTGGATAGTGAGACAACATGAACCTCGTTTTAGCTGTAACCATGCCATCATTTGTGCAGGGTTTAGGAGGTCTCTTACAATCCCAATCTTAGGAATATGGCTTTAAGTTTTATCCTATGTTCAGAGGTTACGTACCTGTTTGTGAAAGGTGTGGGGACTTCCTAGAATCAGGAGGAGATTCTTTCCCCTGGAAGAAAAGAAAAGGACTTGTAGCAAAATTTGGAGTAATCTGCTGCGGGCGTAGAGCCACGAGAAAGTGATCTAAGCAAAAAAGCTCTGCTGGAGCCCTCATCCCACTCTGTGCTGGTCAGCTATTTAATAAGGTAGGAACCCGAGGTCCGCGGCGTGGTCCAAGTTATATGGGGACACCTATTCAGGCAAGCAGAAAGGGGAGTGGGATCAGGTAGTAGTTATGATTCTGGACAGGCTTTAGGACAAGACTGGTTTTAATCTTGACTCTGCCACTTGCCAGTGGTGGGATGTTGGGCAACTCATTTAGCTGTTCTGAGTCTCAATTTCTCCATTTTCATAATGCGGATAACAGCAACTACTTAACAGAGTTGTTTGAGGATCTCTTAAGGTAATGTGTGAAATGTTCATGGGTTTGAGATGTGGTATTTGCTTAATACATTGGGACTGTGATTGCTATCAGCAATGAATATTCCTTAAAGAATTATTTATGGAACTCAGCTTTTTTTTGGGAAGCACTTCCTCATCATGTGATAGGTTAAATGTGCTTATCTTATGGAAATAAAGAGTTCACTGATGGACCACAGAGGTTTATAAAAAGTATCCAGGGGTAAAGTTGAAGAATTTAATAATCTGGGGGTTTGATGTGCCAGCTGGAAGTCTGTTCTGAATGTTACCACTAGGAGGGAAAATTTTCATATCTAAGAATGAAACGTCCCATCCCCAGGAGCAGACAGTGAAGCTGGGCAAGTTGAAACAAGAGGAAATGCTTCTCCAGGGTTTTATTCTCACATATGGATGCCCTGAATGTAATTCCAGAACTTTAACTGGAAGGTATCGTAAGGGTTGTGTGAAGCAGGTTACATGGCTGAACTCTGCTCACAAAGAGGTGCTTCTTCCCTTAAAAGAGGAAGGGAATCTCCATCATTCTTGCAGAAAACTCCAGGAGGCTCAGTTTGGTCTGAATCTGGACTCCCTATGATCCCATGGTATATGTGTAATCAACACCAGCCCTGTTTTACAGAGCTGAAGAAAGAGAGTTTGGGGGGACTGGATTCATAGATACTGGAGCTGCGTCTTTGTGAATAACACTAGCCTTCAAGGCTGTGTTGAAGATACAATGACACAGTAAAATTAAACACCTGGCACCTGGAAGACACTCAGGAATTGATGGGACCTGGTAGAGATGATTTATCACCCAAGTCATCTTTTATGACACAGCTTCAAGAAAGTGTTAAAATTTATAACCAAATATGCCTCATCTGAGCTTAACAGTTGCTGTTGGGGATGCAAGAAAAATGGAATCGTGACAAGGAAAACCTCAGCCAAACTGTGGTTTTCTGTGATTTTCCTGATTTCATGGTACCTCATGCTCTCACTGGGCAAGAGCCCAGTGCCTTTAAGGTCTTGCTCTTTTACGTCTATCAGCAGAACATACAAATGACTTCAAGTGAAATTCACAAATGAATTCAAATGAAATGTACAAATGAAGTCAAAAGGTGCCAAGACTTAAATCCAAGAATTAAGATTCAGATGGCAAAATTCAAGCCATCAGTCAGAAAAAAGAAGGATTTCAGACATTAGAGGTCTCTGCAGTATTTGGAAAATCTGCTATGTACAGTCTGCCTCAATTACAGCCCTTCCAAATTGCTTTCATATCACTTACTTGTAATTGGGGCCATGTTAAAGGGCACAGCAATTCCTTCAGAAATTTGACATCTTCTTGATTCTTTTCCTAGTTGCAAGATCTCACCATGGTTCAAGAGTCCATCAAAGGAGCAGTAAGGTAGAACCAAGATTGGGGCTGAATTTGGTGAAGGACAGGTAGAACTGAGAGGCATATGGGTAAAAACTGAAAGCCAGGGAACTCTTTTGTCATCTACACAGGTTTGTAGATCTAGGGTGCTCTATAAAATAACATTGATATGGATGTGAAACAAAAAGTAAAAGACGAATGACTGAACTCACCCTTCCCTCTTGTTCTGTCTGTCATCTAGCTGATGCATGTCTTGAGTTCTGCTTTGCAAGGCATATAATCATGCTTCAGTCCCCAAGGTACTAACAAGTTTGAAGAGCAAGCTTGAGGCTGGTTTGTTCACCAAAGATAAAAATATCCACTTGTCACATAGGATGTGTGTTTGTGGGTAGAAAAGTAGAGGGAAAAGATATCCAGGGAGAGGAGGGAGAAGATATAATCTTTACGAAGCTCTTCCAGTATCAACTAATATCTGCATTTGGGGTGATTTAGGAAATATTTAAAAGCTGGGGTTGGGGGTGAATTTGAGAATTTTCTTCTTTCTCCTTGGAGATGTTTTATTACACTTACCCTTGAGGGTCTTTTTTGTTTTTTTTTTTGAAAGGGAATGGAATGTATCACCTAAACTTCACAGATTTGTAGTTAATTGATCTCTGGGGTAGTATGGAGAACACATATTCATATAAATGCTCTGAAGACCATGCTTATTAAGCTCTATCCCAATGGCCAGCTCCTCTGATCCCGCAAGGCTAATCAAGATCTCTTCTGATTGTGCATGGTGAACAAACTCAGGATAGCAGTGGAACACGTAGGCTGAGATACAACTCAGTAGAAGAAAACAAGGTTGCATACATATTTGTACATGTGATGTGTATATACAGTGTTTACACTTACTCTTTTCCAGTCCTTCATAGAACCTCTTTGGCTTGAAGTATGTTAAAGAGTTGGAAACTCAATCTTATTATGCTCCTACTATGTACTAAGCTATGTGCAAACTGTACTGGGTGGTTCATGTGTGTTAACTCACTAGATCCTTCAAAATT